ATTTGCCATACTCCGGGGTATGAGCAGCTTATTATGTTAATGCAGTATCATATAAGGTGTAGAATCTCCTGAAACATCGTTCGCGATGCGCGCGTGGCAGCTCTAGCTGTCAAAATAATGCGAAACGCATCTGACACTGCAGGCGATCAGACACCATAGAGTCGTGGCGTGCTTAAATGCGCCTCTCCCCCATTTCCATAGGCAATTAGGAGCAAGGAGAGGTACGATTTGCCGTGAGATCTAGCCTTGAATGAGTCATTCGTTGTTTGATTAACAGAGTTGCGTATTTCGCGATAAATCGATTGATAAATGAATCAAATGCCGCTTAAGCACATATTTCGAATAATTATTCGTAAGCGGAAAGGAGATATTGATACTACGCATTTTGTAGATCTACTCGGCAACATCGATGTTTCACCAACCCCATATATCACCGATCGTCATGGCGCCGACTGCGTCGCACAGGCAGGGGCGCTTTGCAAGTAGCGATGACATAAACAGGATTAAGTCGCTGCCGAACAAGAACGTGAAGAAGTGTCGTAAGATTTTTTCTCTTCGTGACTTGCAAATCACTGTTACGTCGAAAAAGAAGCCCTCGAACGTCGACCTCGGACACAAAGTGAACTACTACGGAGACAACTGCGAGAACTGCACAGGTTGTGCGACCGCGGCAACGTCTGGTGGAGGCGCGGTGCCACGGATCGTTAGCACAGAAGACGACAGTCTGGCTAGCAATTTTCAGTGTTTGAACGAGAACAAACGTGAACTCAAGAAAGGCGTTGTGACTAGTAGTAGATGCAGTGGAAACGATACGGTCAACGCCAGAATAAGCAGGACTTCGATGATCGACTTCCAGCCAATGAGACTGTCCTCTGCGCGGTTCGAGCCCACCCCTTCGCCGACACCGACACCGACGACCACCACTTATGCGTTTGTGTCCTCCAAGGGCTTGAAGGCTGTTAGTCGGGTTCAATTGAAGTTCCAGAAGATCGAACGCTATCTGTTATCCGTCAGGCGGACCCTTTCGACCACGTCGGCCGTCAGCAACTGCACGTTGTCGTCTCGCAGCCACCTGTCATCACAGAACACATGTCAGCCGGTGTCTCTCCCCACTTCGAGTAGGTTACAATGCAAGCTCCGACCTCGATCCGACTGCACGGCCAATGGCAACGCATTGCGGTCAACGCGAAATATCAGTTCTGATTCTTCGACGGTGAGTGCATTATTATTCAAGTGGTGATGAACTGACTGGTAAGGCATGTGCTGCATTCTACTGCTGCTAGCTCATCTTCACAGCGGCTCATTAGGGGTCGGTAAACTAGAGAAAGATTTGTTGCTGATATAAACAGTGACTGTATGACTTAAAGTCTGGCATGCGATGGATGTAGCACTGCGCTGATTGCATATTAGGTACTTAAAGCAGGCAAATTAAGGAATCAGTGATAGCACTGAAAATTTTCTGGTTATTTCGTGATATAAAAAGAAAGTACTGTATGAAATACAATATCTATGTTCTGCACCTTTTCTATATGAATTGCAATACAGAATTTCAATATCTCTAAGGTTATGGCTTTAAAATTGTTTTTTCACGGAACAATCACCTTTAGTCTATAAGAATCTTTGAGGTGATTTGTTGTTAATGATTAACATGCTGTTTTTTAACGAGTGAAGTTATAGACTTAATTTCAGTGGTAATTTATTGCATTTCTGTCGCGAACGCGCTCCCTTTTCTGTTTATCAATGTTTTAACGATATTAGGACAGGATTAGGTTTTTTTCTCTTTTGATACTGTGGGAAAACCCTAGACGTTCGAATGAGGCGTCATTTCAAACGGGCTAGAGATCGTTGCGTAATAAACGTTGATTGTTCAAGCCTTTTTAAATTTGGATGATGGTGAAAACAATTAAATTTAGAGCCAATAAGTTGCGTACAGTTTTAGTGAACTTACTGTTACAGCATAAAATGATATTTTCGTAATTTTATTTTTCAACACACGCAAAAGTTATAAATCTTTTTCAATGCAAATTGTTTGATAAGATACCTTTTACTGCAATAAGGCGTGGCGTAAGATATCCTGTACTTTACTCTGAAAGTGAGAAGATGAAATCATAGTTTTACGTCTTTCAGTTTTTAGTTGTATGAGTTTCTTGTTGCTTACATAGCTATCAGCGCATTCAAAATGAAA